TCTCTCCTTCTCTTCCTCTCCCTTCCATCCTCCTTACCTCTTCTTTCCTTCCTCCTCTCCTTCCCCTTTCTTCTTCCCTTCCCTTCCTCCTACTCCTACTCTTCCTCTTCTCCTACCAACCCTCTCTCCTTCTCTTCCTCTCCCTTCCATCCTCCTTACCTCTTCTTTCCTTCCTCCTCTCCTTCCCCTTTCTTCTTCCCTTCCCTTCCTCCTACTCCTACTCTTCCTCTTCTCCTACCAACCCTCTCTCCTTCTCTTCCTCTCCCTTCCATCCTCCTCTCCTTCCCCTTCCTTCTTCCCTTGCCTTTCTCCCACTCCTACTCTTCCCCTTCCTACCCTCTCTCCTTCTCTTCCTCCCCCTTCCATCCTCCTCTCCTTCCCCTTCCTTCTTCCCTTTCTTCTCCCCTACTCCTCCTCTTCCCCTTCCTACCCTCTCCTCTTCCTCTCCCTTCCATCCTCCTCTCCTTGCCTCTTTCTTCTTTCCCCCCATCTTCCTTTGCAAACTGATTTGAGGCACAATTAAAACCATTTAACCCTGACGGGCTGGGACTCCAATCCCCATAATTCGCAGCCAGCATGGCAAAAGCGAAGATAACCTTTGACTCCGTTGCTGTCGTCATGGATAAAAAGTTTCTGCCACCTGAGATTGGTTTATGACGCGAGACATTAAGAAGATCAGGAGACAAATTGTACATAGCGATGTTGTGGTTTCTTGTACAAAGCAATATAGATGTAGATTAGATGATATGGTGATGTTGACCAAAACAGTCTACTACCAACTTCATCCTGGGAGATCCCACTCAGGAAGACTGAAAGTAGACTCTTAACATATGTCCGTTGGTGGAATATCCTCTCTGGAGATAGTGGAGACCTTAGGATGACCTTGGATTTCTAGAAAGAATGTTGTTATGGCTGCATATCATCTAACTCCATACAATCCCATTTTCCCATCATAGAAAAGGCATAGTAGGATATATAAAAAGAAAAGATGGCTGCAGGCCTGACACTGTCCATGTTTCTTCTACAGCCTTCTGAAGACAACACCAAAGTGCCCCTCAACCTTGAGCCCAAGAAGTATCACACTCTGAGAGTGAGGGCTGTGCTGGGCGGGGTCGGCAGTGACTGTAAGGAATCGCGCGGTCTCTGGAGTGAATGGAGCGAGCCGGTGCACTGGGGTGAGTCCCTTTTTCTAAGGAACTAAGCCACCAAGTTGTTTCTGCCTACAGGATCTTGTGCTGGTTGCATTTGGTCTTTGAGTTAACTTCATGGCATCCTACCTGTGTTTCACGTTGCTTAAATTTATAGGATTATTTCAGTTACATTTGGAAGGACTATTTACATCACTCTCTTCTGCTAGCTAGGACATCCTCTGTGGACTTGACGGCCCCCTCAACAGGGAGCGGATCAGAGAGGGATATTGCCATATCAAAGGACGGCTTTAGTGTCTGGGTTAGATTGATGAGATTCTTTTCCAATGGTGCCATTCCAGATCTACGTCTCAGGGCATGAGTGGGAATCCCATTAGATCACACAGAGCAGGCCTCCTCCGGGTTCCGTCTACCAGGCAATGTCATCTGGCCACTACCCGGGGGAGGGCCTTCTCT